TTTAAAAACATGTTTAAAAAATCTTACTGAGCCCAATTTTTTGAACAGTAGTATACATAATTATTTGAATATACATCATATACTCCAGCAAAAAGTCAATTAAATGAAATTAAATAAAAACCTTTCATTCACTGCTAACATTAAAGCCTGTGCTGGAGTTCTACAACATAATATGAGTTCACTTGAATATAACGAATGCATACTACCATAAACTGCTTTCAGCATACTGCATAGTATGTATACTACCTACTATGCAAAAACACTATGGTAACCAGTATGCAGTGATAACTGTTTCACATGACCTGACCATGTTGCATAATATCAGGAATTAATGCAGCAACATATTTCTTTTGAAGTTGAAATGCATCACATCTACAGACTCCACATTTGTGAAACCAACCCTGATATGAATGTGCTTTCAAAAACATTTACACATATTTCCATTTCACATGTAAATCTAGCCCTTCTGTACTCTGGCATGCTGGGATACCTGAATCACTGCAGCTTCCACTGCTGCCTTCTCCATTCAGTGATGTAGATTTAGTCTCCGAGGTGTTACAGCTTCCTGCCATCACAAGAGGAAAAAAACAATATTTAGTAGTTGTACTAGTTTAATAAAGTACTACAATTAGTTGTTCAACCATTATTGGGAAGTTCAAACCAGTGCTATTTTAGTATCACTGAGATATTACAGTTTTTATTAATGTGTTAACTTCGTTTTTTTCCTTCTTTTTTATTTTAATTTTGATTTATAAATAAAAAATATATATTTTTAAATATTTACTTTCATTTATATATACATATATACTGTATATATAATTATGTTTTCTGAGAATATGTGAGATAAGAGGTTAAGCTGATGCTTTTGGATGACTGACATTAAATACACCAAAAATAATATTTAAATAAATAAATATTATATATTATTAATAATAATAAATAAATAAATATTTGTGAAGTCCCACTGTGAAATGTTATACTCAAACTAAATTTAAAACTATCATACACAGCATTTCAATTAGCAGCTCATATTAAATGTAAAAAAAAAAAAATGTATTTGCCACAACGCATGACAGAAAACAACATACAACACATATTTTCATCCCTGAAACCACAGGATGATCTCACCTTAAATGAAATTACAAAAGCTTATTGGCAATCCGGATCATATCATGTAAAGTTTAACAGCTCATTAGTTAATGTACAATCAAATAGCAAACATGAAGCATGGCACATTTATGAAGTGCAGTAAATGAAGCCAGTGTGGTTTCCCCATTCCAGCAGAGCAAACAAAGATGTTTTAAATTTTGATATCTGGCTCTCTTTAGAGGAACATGTATAAAGGTTGTGTGCTACTTCAAATACAGCAAAAATCCAGAATATGTTTTATTTTTCTTTAAATGTGACCCTGCACCACAAAACCAGTCATAAGGGTCATTTTTTTGTCATTGAGATGAATACATCTGAAAGCTAAATAAATAAGCTTTCCACTGATGTATGGTTTGTTAGGATAGGACAATATTTGGCCGAGATACAACTATTTGAAAATCTGGAATCTGAGGGTGCTAAAAAATGTACACACAATCAAGCCTAGAAAAAAACCACTGAACCACCCCTTTAATATCCTAATGATTTTTGGCATAAAAGAATATGCCAAATATTCCCTTCTCTGAATGCATCTATAAGAGATTATGGATAATTACAGTTTCATTCCAATTTTAATTGAATTTGTATTTGTGTCAGTGTGTTTTGCCATAGTTTTGATGACCTCAGATTCTCCTCACGGATAATCACGTCAACTTTATTTTAGCCTGATTCATACTGAAGGATAAAAAACTTCAGTGAATATTGACTGTTGTCCTACATTGATAACTCCTGTCAGTCATTTCTACACAAAGTTTAACCTTAATTCCTCACATACTTGGTAATAAAGATGAAAGGAATGTTATGGGTTCAATATCTATCCACAGCACCTGTGATGTACTGACAATTACTACAGACCTCATTTAACTCGTCTTTCAGTTTATTAAAAACTGTACTTGCAATGAAGGTCTATGGGCATTTCTGGCAGGGAATTGCTTTTTATTCTTTAAAATGCCCTGTCTTGTGACTGACACAAAAGCAGACTTTCATCACAAGCGTCATATTGGTTCAGTATGCATTTGCAGTTATCTTGAGTTTTAACTTTTGAGTTAATTATACTCTAACGCTGTTCGGTATAAAAAAAAATGTCCTTGCAGTGAGAACACTGATAAAGGTCTACTGTGCCATTATAGGTGTTAACATGAGACTAGTGTGATTGCATTTCTTACTGAGCTCGTTTTTTTTAAAAGTCACTCTGGATATTTCAACAAAGCTGTCTTGATGATGTAATGCTGGTAAATCCGGTAAACCAGGTACAACTTTCACACAATATGCGCAAAAGGACAGGGGTTGTTTACATACAGAAAAATCTACCCACAGGAATTATTTCACAGGAACATTCTTCTACCTAGAAAAGTCTCCTAATCTCACTCCTAATCACAACTCAACTTAACAGTATGTGCACTATATTCTAAGTCTTACAAAACCAAATAAATCATATATATGTAATTATTAAAAATCAAATAGCTCAAAAATGAAAAATCTTAAAAGAAAATGTAATTTACAATATGAAAACAATTTATAATGGTGTATAAATAATAGTAAAATATTAAATATAGCATTTATGTTTAAATATCAGTCTTAGCATTGCATTGCTAAGATTTTGGGGAAGTCGTGACCTAATGGTTAAAGAGTTGGACTCGTAACCCAAAGGTTGCGGGTTCGAGTCTTGTACCCGACATTGAGAAACGTTGCAACAACGTTCTAAGAACGTTCCTCCAATATTGTCCAGCAAGTGCTTCCTGGGTTCGTCCAGCATTCCTCATGCCTCTGTGTAAGATTTCTGTGCACTGAGTTTTTCTTTTTTTAGTTTGACGCCATCCACCAGTTCAAAGTTGTAGTTCTCCAGAGCGGAGAGGTTCCTGTTTGTAGTGTGAGCGCATGCGCAGTAGAACAGCACCCCGCACACGGCACCCAGCAGGACTCCCACGGCGCTCATCACGATGATGGTGATCAGGATGGGGTCTAAACTCTTCAGCATGGAGCCGCGTCCAAAACTCCACAGGGTGTTGTCCGTCCCCTCACAGTTCACTATTGAGAGGGAAAGACAGACAGAAACAGAGAGATTGTGAGACCTGCATAAGCAAGCTCAATTATATTATATAAGAGATCAAATGGGGGAAGTCGTGGCCTAATGGTTAGAGAGTCGGACTTGTAACCCAAAGGTTGCGGGTTCGAGTCTCGTACCGGCAGGGATTGTAGGTGGGGGGAGTGAATGTACAGCGCTCTCTCCCACCTTCAATACGGTGAGGTGCCCTTGAGCAAGGCACCGAACCCCCAACTGCTCCCCGGGCGCCGCAGCAAAAAAAATGGCTGCCCACTGCTCCGGGTGTGTGTGTGCACTGCTGTGTGTGTGCACTTTGGATGGGATAAATGCAGAGCACTAATTCCGAGTATGGGTCACCATACTTGGCCACATGTCACTTCACTTACTCAATATTGCATTGCTCAATATTGCATTGCTCAATATTTTACATCACAGACAGTGGCATTGAATCATCGTCACATGGCTGATTGTGATATGCTGCGAAAAAGGTTTGACAGCTCTGGTGAAGCGCTGATGATTATCAGTGGACAATGAAAGTGTATTCACATTTTTAGAGGAAACACAATCTCAAACTTGATCTAATTGTGTTTTTTCACATGAAAAGAAAGAAATGAACAAGGGCTTGGAATCATAAGGGAGAGTAAATGATACCAAACTTTCAAACTACTCCTTTGTTGATAATTTGTACAAGAAATTCTACACACTGATGAGAAACTTTAATGTGATTTATAATGCAAACGGTACATGTTACTGTACCTGTTGAATCCAGCGACTTGGAGACTTTAGTATCTTTGCTCTTCTTTGATTTCTGCATAGAAAAAAAAAAAATGCCTAACATGAAAAATGTTCTTAAAAATGTCTAAAAACAAAAAAAATATGGAAGTGGAAATAAAGGAAGTGAAAGTGGTTTTTGCTCATTCAGTTATGTTCAGGGTGCATTTACATTTCCTCATCTCTTACAAATTACTTTACGATAATGAATTTGCTTTTACTGGCAATTTTTAAGCGTAGCTTCCACCAAGCACATCCCAAAGACCACTGCAATTCTATATCAGCAAGGCATCAATTTACTTTTGCAGTTTTAGCCTTTAATCGGCGCTCCTCCATAGCCTTCTGTAGCTTCTCCACCTCCTCTTTAGACCCATTCAGCATCACAAGGTTGTCTTCTTGGAAAGGATCTCCACACTTAAAAAAAAAAGACACAAGAACGTGAATATTAAAACTATGGAAAAATCTAAATACTGTTAAATGACTAGTTTTGGCACAAAAAAATTCATACATAAAAAAAGTAAAATTAAAAATTACATTAAAAAAATTAAATTAAATTAAATAAAGAAAAACACAAAACATACGCATGATAATAAAATAAATTTAAATAATTAAAAATAAAATGTAAATCTAAAATGAAAAATAAAACATGTATACACAATAAAAACAAGTAACATGGCAAGTAACACATTGAATTGAATGTAAAATTTTGAGGTAGAAAATCTGAAAAAGCATTTTCCTGTAAAACACGCTCCAATAATCATTATTTACAACTTTGAAAAAAACATTTTTTTTTTCCAGTGTAGTAAAGTGTATGATAAGACTATGATAATACACAGCTACCTAAAAACTGTCTGAAAGCAAAGTGCACAAACTGGAGAACTGATAATATGTCACTAAACAGGTCATAAAGCAGGTATGACGGCTTTGCCTGAAAAGCAGAAAAATGTTGCACTGATGACTAAGTTACCCGAAAGCCAAACGCACACACAATGACACAGGCATTCAGCAGCAGCTATTGTCCTGCACACACAAGAGCGCTAATCTCTCTCATGCATCAGCAAACGCACGGGCCGCCAGCCCTCGGGCTCACTACAGGTCAGTTGCTTTCGGTCTCTGCGCTCAGGTCGGGAATAAACAAGGAGCTAATGCATCTGGAATCGTATTTATCTGCAAAGCAAGCATCTGAAGAAGCGAACAGGAGGTGGAGAGAGCAAACAGAGATGAAGATTATGAAGGTAAAGCTGGAGAGTGAAACAAATCTGCAGCATCTACTAAACAAACTAAACTAAATCTGGTTGATGCTTTAAAGTCAGCATAAAAATCCAAACGGACAACATTTACTTCCTTAATACACATTTCTGCTCTTACTGTGCGCAATTTCCTCAATGCACGTTATTGCAGATTAAACAAAAAACAGTTTTGCAATACAAATGTAACATTTTGGTCTTGTTTCTAAAAGCTACTTTACATGGACTGCTAAAGTAGCTATTTTTGAAGCTTGACACTCTGTTTACATTCAAAATGCAAATGACTAAACAACTAAATGATTACAGAATTTACATTTTAAGAATTCATTTAAGAATTAAATCAACAAACTAACTCTCCACTGTGCCTTATGTGTATGAAAGCCATTCTTTAAGACCATTATAACTGTTTTAGTCAACCGTAAACCTGAAACCATATAAAATCACTAACTGTAACCATTCACTTTCTTAAAACACATTCTAGATCTTATTGTGCACAATTCCCTTTTATTATTGTTGCTATAAAATTTAGTATAGGCTATTTTTTTTACTGAGCTTTGTTACTTTTGAAGATTGACAGTCCTTGCTCATTTAAAATACAAATGATCAAAATAAATGTCTAAATGATGACAGAATTGTATTTTTATGCATGATAGTAATTAAAATGGACTCAAAATGAAATTTAAAAAATGAAAATGTACTTTCTTAATGCACATTCATGATCTTATTGTGCACAATTTGCTCAATGCAAATTATTCAAAATTTCCTTGTTCACAGTCGAGATGCAAATAATAAAAATAAATGACTAAATAATGACAAAATTAACATTTTTAGGAAAGATAGCAACAATTTGTTTAAAAACGTAATCAATTATGAAAATTAAAATGGACTTTCAATTCACTTTCTGATATGATTGTGCACAACTTCCTCAATGCACATTATTGCAAATTTAAAAAGCACCTTTGCTATAAAAATGTAAATTTTTGGTCTGCTATTTACACAGATACATATATGGACTGCTAAAATAGCTATTTTTTGTTATATCTGAAGCTTGCCCATCCTTGTTCACATTCAAAATGCAAAGTGATCAAAATAAATGACTAAACAATGACAGAATTTTCATTTTTATGCACGATGGCAACTATTTGTTTAAGACTGAACCAATTAGTAACTAATTCCCACGTTACTAAAATTTACTAGAAGTGCATAATTTCCACAAGCATTTTTGCAATAAAAATGTACAATTTTGGCCACTTATTTAGGCTACTATATATGGACTATTAAAGTAGCTATTTTAGCTTTATTGTTTTTTTTTTTAGTTTGACAGTCCTTATTCAAATTCAAAATGCAATATTCTGATGACAGAATATTCATTTTTATGCATGACAACTACTTGTTTAAAACTGAACCAATTAATAACTAATTCCCACATTCCTGATCTTATTGTGCACAATTTCTTCAATGCATATAATTCCAAATTTAAAAAGCATTTCTGCAAAAACAAATGTAAAATTATACCCTGTTATTTACACAAAGCTACTATATATATGGACTAGGGCTGGGTTTTGACACAAATGTCACGATTCGATTTGATTCTCATTCACAAGCTTGCGATTCGATTCGATTAACAATTTGATTCAATATCGATTCATTTGGATACATGTCAGGTACAGTACACCAAATTTTCAAAAAAAAAATCTCTCAACTAATGCTGTAAAATATACATGAGAGTCAGTTGGTAATACATTACTTATAATATTGAAGGTAAAAATTTACTGATTTGTTAAAATTACACTTAATGAAGTTTTTAAAATAATAAAGTTACAATTACATAATAATATTTCTATTTCAATTATTTCACTCTCTCACAGAAAGACAGACACTCGGCAGGGATTTCTGCTCATGGAGGAGCCTTTTAGACAGAGGTCATGCGGATGTTAGCGCGTTTGTGGATGTTTAATCCCATTTCCTATTTAAGGAGTGGAAACGGCTTGAGCTGAAAGGTAAGCACACTTTGACTCATGGATTACTGGCCTGTGTCTAATGCACTTGATGTTTATGCTTCAGAAAACCAAAACATGTGGCGGAGAGCCTGTAAAGAGGTTTCATTTTGCTTTTTAACTACAAAAAAAATCTAATGTATATTGTATAAAGGCTGGTTATACTGTCAGAGTTGGAACATTTTTTTTTTCTCCATTAGCACATTTTTAGTGATACCAGTCTGTTACTCTTGAAGCCTGAGGTTTGATTGTACACTCGTTATCTTAGCAGGTGCTTTAGTTCATTTGCTATCTAACGACTACTGAGACATTTAGAAAATTAGTCATATTTCGATACAAAACCATGTAATGGCACTGAGATTGTTTGAAAGCATATATATTAAAGTTGAGGAAGCGATTAATATATAGCATTGTGATTAACACCTAACGCACTGTAGATCTGGAATGAGTTTAAAGTTCATGTTCATGTGCTTTTTAAACACTTCCTTAATCAATCAATAGTTGAGACTTCCTAGACTACAAAAACTCTATACATTTGTGTTACACTTGATTTCAATTTACTGTTCAATTTACGCTTGATGTAAAAGTTTCCACTGAAGTAGAAGTTGCGCAAGTTTTCTTTAGTAATTGGTTTGTTTGCCGAGTTACCTGAGCAAAGGCCAGACTACTGCTCTTACAATTCGCCCATAACCATTCATGATAATGCAATACCTAATTAAGTTATCAGTTAAATGGCAAGTACACAAGGTGTCAGGTTCGACACTTTCTTTCATCACTCTGTACAAAACAGTCAAAATAGTATAATACAGCCATCAGTTACAGTCATCGGTTACCATTAATTATGTTACCCAAAAAGGACTTTAATAATGCAAAATATTTTTTATAACTCGTGGTGTCCTCATTTTAACAATTAGATTTCTTAAATATGATGTTGATGATGCATTTCAACAGAAATACATTTGCTTTCTATCTAGAAGCATTAAGCAAAACCACAGCATCCTGCCATATTTATCTATTTTCTGCAAAACATGCACTGCATGTAACCAAAGAACTGATGAAGAAAACAAAAATCAAATGCAAAAACACTAATAACTAATAATATCACTAATAAATTAAGTATACGCAATAATCATTTCATACCCCATTTTTGATTCTTTCTTTTTTTTTTCCGCAAAACACAGTACTTTAAGCCAACCACATTAAATCACACTAAATCTTTAGTGAAACTCAGTCATGCCTTCTAAGGAACCATTATGTCATACAGTGCTGTCATCCATTAAGTAGTTCTTAAAATCTCATCAACACCATTTTTTTTACAATCTTCTATAGTTTCCTCATAATTATGAAGCAGCAAAACTGTTTTCATCATTGATAATAATCAGAAATGTTTCTTGAGCAGCAAATCAGCATATTAGAATGATTTCTGAAGGATCATGTGACACTGAAGACTGGAGTATAGATGCTGAAAATTCAGCTTTGATCACAGAAATAAATTAATTACATTTAACACGCATAGGAAACATTTCTTTCAAATTATAATATTTCACAATATTACGGTCATTTTCACTGTATTTTTAATGAAATAAATGCAGACTTGATGAACAGAAGAGACTTCTTTCACTTCTTTATCAACACGATTAACGAACTGCTATGCCAGAAGTTTATTGGTTCTGTGCTTATTTAATGATTAACAGAAAGGGGTATGTGATATTTGAGCACTTCCCCATGTTGTGACAATTTCCTCTCTTATTATTTTCCTCTTCTGCTCTGTTTCAGGAGGTCTGTAGCTGCTTTTCAGATGCTGGACTATTATGGTCCAGCTTGAGAACACCAAGTGCAGTTTTCTCTTCTGCCTTGGAATCTGCATCCTAATATGTTCTGCCATCTACCTGAACGCCAAAATACCCAACACCCCCATTCCATCAACTGACTTGAGCAGCCAAACCACACCAGCCCCTCAAAGCTGTGACATTCTTCCACCTGCAACTCCCGGGTTTACATGGCAGCGAAAAGACTGTAAGAAAATCAGCTATGAGACCAAACCGGACGCAAACTGCTCTCTTTTGCAGTCAGATCTGCACTTTATTACGGCGCCGCTGAGCAAAGAAGAAGAAGACTTTCCTTTGGCTTTCATAATCACCATCCACAAAGAGCTGGAAACGTTTGTGCGGCTACTGAGAGCCACTTATGCGCCACAGAATGTGTACTGCATTCACATAGATGCTAAAGCACTGGAAGAATACAAGACGAGCGTCCGAAACCTAGCTGGGTGCTTCCCGAACGTCTTTGTGGCGTCCATTAACGAAAAAGTGACTTACGCTGGCTTTTCCCGTCTGCAGGCTGACATCAACTGCATGAAGGACCTAGTGAAGTCTCCTACAAAATGGAAAAGAGTTATAAATCTGTGCGGCCAGGACTTTCCAATCCAGACCAACCTGGAGCTGGTCCGGTACATGCAAGGATCCGAATGGAAAGACAGGAACATGACGCCGGGAATCAGGCAGCCACCCACTATGAAGCACAGGACTGATTTTCAGTACAAGGAGGTAAAGGGCACCCATGTGGCACCAAAAGGCAAGGGTCAAAAGAAGGGACCACCTCCTCACAACCTGACAATGTACTTCGGGACTGCCTATTATTCCTTGACGAGACCGTTTGTGGAGTTCGTCCTCAACGACAAGGTGGCCAAAGACTTGCTGGAGTGGTCTAGAGACACCTTCAGCCCAGATGAGCATTACTGGGTGACTCTAAATCACATGAAGGGTAAGTCAGAACGCAATAATCATGAGTGTGTTTGCTTTAAAATGCAATGTTGACTCAGTTCCAGTCAGCAAGATAACAGAAATATTGATGACAGAAAACTGCTCAGAAGCATGTGGTCTTCCAATCATGAAATTGGTCCTGCATGTTTACTCAGAAGCACCTGGCAGTTATGTAGAAGGCGAATGGGAAGGTAACGTTCGTGCAATCAAATGGAAGGACCAAGAAGGAACAGTACACCAGGGCTGTAAAGGTACGAGAATGTCAAGCGAACACTTTTTACTCTGACATAGGATACGGTTTTATCCAAAGCAATCTGTCACAGAATCAACAATATTTCTAGTATACAATGCCACGTTTATCCATGGTTTCTGCAGGTTTTATGAAGGCAAATGTAATATTTAGTTTTTTAACCTTTTTAAGACCAAGTAAAGAAAATTTAAGGAATAAATTGAATGGAACACAATACATCAATATGGTCTGCAAAAGTGAATGTCTTGAATTAGCAACGCATATTTTATATTGTGTAATTTCACAAATGACAATTTCAATAATCCTCTTGATTTATAAGAAATTGATCAAAATTTGACAAGAATAAATATCTGCTAATTGGCTGAGAAAAATCAACTTAATTCCATGAGAAAAAGTTTTCATACCCCACTGACGGTATGACTGATAATGACTTTATGAATTTACGTTTTTCTGCTCCGATTAATTACCTTTTTAGGCCTTAATTTGCGGAAGGGGAGAATTAGGACTTTTTAAAGGGGTCATATGATGCGATTTCAAGTTTTCCTTTCTCTTTGGAGTGTTACAAGCTCTTGGTGCATAAAGAAGATCTGTAAAGTTGCAAAGACTAAAGTCTCAAATCCAAAGAGATATTCTTTATAATGTGTGTGGGGAACAGGGTCACATCACAGGAGAGTGAACTGCCTGTCAGAAATCATAGCACGTCAGCTGTCTTAACCGCGGCTTGTGTACTGCATCATCACTGTCTGTCACGCGACTCTGTTGCCCTTTCGGGCTTGAACTGATGGTAAAACTAACGACATTAAAACTGTCTTGATATTTACTTTGAAAGCTGAAGTGATTATAGTAAGGGGCGTTACATTTCCGACGTGTGCTTGTGGTGTTCGGCCAATCACAATGCACTGGGTCAGCTGGCCAATCAGAGCAGACTGCGCTTGTCAAAGGAGGGGGCTTTGTTGAAAACGACGTGTTTGAGAGAGGCGGGGCACAGAGGACCTACAATAATGTACAGTATTTGAAAAATAATGTGTTTTTTGAACATTAAAGCATGTCAACATATTCTGTTACACCAAATACACAAAATCATGATCTTTAAAATAACATCATATGACCCCTTTAAAGTCCCGAAGAAACACTGTTATTAGAAACCTTGATATTGCATTTATTTAAGACCGAGCCAATTGAGGCTTTTGCACAGTCATTATAACATTAGATCTTCCCAACAACAGTCTGTATTTTCATGTAAACATAGGACTGCAATCTTGTGTCTATGGATACCAAAACCGTTGTGTTTCTTTCTACAGGACAATACATCAGGGATATCTGCGTTTACGGGATTGGTGACTTACCGTGGCTTATCGAAAAAGAGAGCATGTTTGCGAATAAATTTGAGACTGCAAACTTCCCAGAAGCCCTGGATTGTCTAGAACTGTGGCACCGACATAAAGTTCTCCAGCACGCTACGGTTCCCATACAACCATCATGGCGTCTCACCACAGAAGTCGAAGTCATCAACAGCACACTCATTTTAAAACCAGGAGACTGTTTTTGAGCAAACACCCACAAAATAAGTCACAATGAAAGTGAAATATGTACAGGCTTGTCAACTTCTGCATGCACTCAAAACCCTGTATTTTGCATATATATCTGAGCAAACACTATTTCCTCTTGACGTCAAAGTACCATCTCACATGGACACAGTAGACATGAAGGAAGAAATAATAGAAACATCACTGGAACATTTTCTGTTTTACGGTGCAAATTTGCTGTGTCAATATTCATGCCGCATGGCAATGCAGCTTGTGATGTATAAATGTTGAAAACATGTGAACACTGATTGTTATGTGAGTGATGAGTAATATAACTGTTGTACTGTTAATAGTAATCGTAATTTCTATTTATTTTTATTTATTAACTGCTGCATAATGCACTGTTTAAAGTGGATAAATAATAAAGAATAAAGGCATAAAAATCCTTTGTGAAATCCAAGATACAACAAATACTGCTATTACAATCAAAGGACACTATACTGTGATATACACAGTAACTGACCAAAAATAGTGAAAATATTGTCATTTGTGACTTACAGAGCCAATTGTTAGTCAAGAGTTTAGTGAGCATCATTATGACATGCCACTGTAATACTTTCATAATGTAAGCCGCATATTTTCAATATGTAAATTTGTATGCAAATTATGTACACATGAACATCTGCTCAAGTCAATTTTGTTTCCAACACTGAATTCAGCACTGTTCATATTGTTCAGTTTTTGTGCTTCATTTTCAGTGCTGTCAACTGCATTGAATTGATAAAAACCCCAGCCCAACACATTAAGCACTTTCATTTCCATTGTGGTCTTAATAAATGTGCCTCTTTAGCAACTTGGATAGAAAAAACAATTCTCTGCTAACAACAATGTAATTTTTTTGACGCTGACAAAAGAACATATTATAGCCATAAACATTTACATCATGACCACTAATAGACAATTAGTCAAACATATCACCACAAAATGGTACTACAGCTGATGGTATATACTGCCATGTGTCATCCATTTGCAGTACAGACATAAATGATTTCTCAATTCGTGTTTTTTGAGGAGAGATGTGCTGATACTTTATTAAACATTCTGACTTTACGATAATTTTCACCTGGTGGACAGAAAGCTGGTGAGCAAGTACAACTCACATCAAAGTCTCCAAAGATGCATAAATGCTATTATATAAAAAAAAATGTTTAGCATATGAAATCAGAAATAAAATAAAATGAAAATTTGGGTGAAAAAAAACATGCCACTGAAGCATAACTTTATGTCTAAAGTAATTCAAATTTTTAGATTAGATTTAAATTTTTAGATTAAAAAAAAAAAGAAAAACATTTTTTTTATGTTAAAAATTTTATAAATATATTTTAATATTTATTTCAGCCCACGGCCCTCAATCAAGTTCTGCTCTAAATGATACTACAAAAAAAAAAGAAAAAGGTTGAAGCCTGCAATCTGGTCAGCTTTCCCTAGTGTTAAAGACAGAATGAAAAATGCCTATTCAAAACCTAGACACATGTAACGCAATACATAACCACAGGTTATGATTAACAGCACCAAGAATAGTTAAAAATTTGCTTGGAAATGGATAACCCTCAGAGGTTTATATTCTATATTCAAATACAGCTGAATGTTTGTCGACGCACAGCACGCCGACCTGCACCGATCTGACCAGTTTATGCCGGTTTGGAGAAGAGATGGACTGCAGGATGCAGTTTCCCTATTTCCGCCTTAATGCTCGGATTAATTGAGACAAATGCCACAGAGAAACGGCAGCTAGCTGAGCCTGAAACCAATTAGACCGAGGCAGGGGACTGGGAGGTTAATGATTCACTACTGAGAATGAAAGACAAGTCGCACTCATTAGCCACGGTCCAACTCCATCCAATCACAAGCGTAAACACAGCATTACGAGAAAGGTGACAAATCACCTGGACAAAGAAAAAAACAACCAGAGCTGCTGACTGCTTAACTCAGAGCTTATCTTCGCCTATGATAACAACTCATTATCCACATCCGCATTTGAAACTGTCAAACTAGATATATGTGAGAGACTTGAGGGTGAAATTGTGACTCACAGTTAGAAAAACAACATTTCTGCAATACAGCACCTAAAAGTGTGCTATAGTATATTGTCAATACTGTTTCTCAAAGTGGCCATCTTGGTAACACTCCCAAACAGAAAGAACAGCTTTAATATAGAAATCTGAATGTTTGTTAAACTTTAGTTCCATTAATATATTAACATATACCACTCATAATTCGTTTTTTTATGTTTTTGATTGTTATTTAATCACAAATACAGTACAAACTGTATTTTTTTTTTTTACAATTAAAAATAGCTGTTTTCTATTGTAAATTATTTTAAAGGGGTGGTTCACTGGTTTTTTTCTAGGATTGATTGTGTTTATGGGGTGCAGTCTAACGTGTTAATGCTTCGTTTTTTAAAAAACGCATTATTTTTCACATAATTTACCTTTATTCCACACCGCTCTGTCCCTTCTCTGAAAAATGCACTGATCATTTCCTTCTTTTATGAGTCCCCTCCCTTGGAAATAGGCGATGGGCTCTGATTGGTTAGCTAGCCCAGTGTGTTGTGATTGGCTAAACCGCCTCTAGTGCACGTCTAATCGTCCCGCCCCTCACCTCAGTGGCATGTGCTAATCGCAATGAACCACCCCTTTAAAATATAATTTATTTCTGTGGTGCAAATTAGGAAAAAAATTAGCAATATATATATTTTTCCAATTAAAAATAGCTGCTTTCTATTGTAAATTATTTTAAAATATAATTAATTTCTGTGGTGCAAATTAGGAATAAAATTAGCAATATATATATATATTTGTTTTTTTTTACAATTAAAAATAGCTGTTTTCTATTGTAAATTATTTTAAAATATAATTTATTTCTGTGGTACAAATTAGGAATAAAATTAGCAATATATATTTTTTTACAATTAAAAATAGCTGTTTTCTATTGTAAATTATTTTAAAATATAATTTATTTCTGTGGTGCAAATTAGAAGTAAAATTAGCAATATTTTTTCAGGCTTGTTCAGGCTGTGCATGTGCATTAGCGTAAACATATTAAAGACAAAAGCTCTATGAAAAACTCATACTTCAAAGCAGGACAGCAGATAAACAAAACAGCCTTTATTAAAAACTGAACGTTAAATGAAAACACATTAAGGTCTATTGAAAACCATTATCTCTGACCTTTGATCGACATTTAACTAAGATAATGTGTGTGGACAATTTTCATAAAGTAAGCAATGAATTACATTATGCCTCTGGTCATTTATGGCCTAAGGTTTCAGGAAGATTATTAACATACAGCTGCTGTAATAAAGCGCCTATGCAAAGACAAAAGGAAGAGATCGATAACAGGTCAAAGATTCAAGAGAATCAAGAACGCTGCTTTTCACCTACCTTGTGGCAGATTTCAGTCTTCACCTCTCTGAGCGCTCGTTCGGAGAAAACACACCCACAGGTCTGCAGGTATAAAAACCTCAAGACAGACAGAACAGCACAGTGATTACAACCACAAGAAGCATCTCATGGAAACAGGAAAATATCAAGAGAAATTTAACAATGTGAAAAAATGAACACATATATTCCACTTGGTAGCTTTAAACTTTAAAAGAGTATCTATTAGGGCTGGGTAAAAAATATTGATATCTCGATATATATTTTACAGCATTAGTTTTTTCCTTGAGAAAATTTGGCATGTACTGTACCTGATATATATCCAAAATAATCGATATTGAATCAAATCGAATCGGTAATCGAATCGAATCACAAGCTTGTGAATGAGAATCGAATCGAATCGTGAAATTTGTGTCAAAACCCAGCCCTAGTATCTATAGGGTGTTTTTGTATTTATCACATTGTGTGCATAACCACAGGGAACAGTACTGATATTTTTACTGTGTTGGACAATATATGAATAGAAAATCCATTTACATCAAAATACAGCAGCCACTTTAGTCACATTTTAATATGTTATTAGACAACAAAATATTGAACAATGTGACTTCAATATTAAAATTATATAAAAAATATATAAATAACTTTTATTATTATAATTAACTATAAATAACTATATATACATTGTTCAAAAATGACAGTTAATAAAAACACAATTGTTCAATGTTTGTTCATGTTAGTTCACAATGCATTCACACTTATTAACTTCTGATTTTAAAAATGTGTTTGTAATTACTGATATTAGCATCAATTAATGTAGTATTACTTATTAACCAACTAAAGCGTAGTGCGAAATGTCATCAAGTAAAGTTAGTTTAGAGAAAAGCTCTAGCAGAACTGGTTTTAGATTACATTCTTTTGTTTATGATATTTTCATCATAATCTCAACTAACAACAAATATTTTTACTGCATTTATTAATATAGCAGTTTAATGTTAATTTCTACATATACCAATACATTTATTATTTCAAGTAATAAATTCCGTAGAACATGTTCATTGTTATTTCATGATACCCAATGCATTAACTAATGAGCAATTTACCATATTGTACACAAAGCTATATATTTTTTGTCTATGCAAAAACATTTACTGTCCAAAAACTAATTGGAAGTCTACCAAGCAAACCGGCTTGATGATTTGAAAGCAAAATGTGAAGAAAATTTTTTTTACGTAAAAAATAGTAAGAAAAAAATGTAAGAAGTAAAAGATGTTATTCATCCTGATCAGGTGATTTTTTTTATATTACTGAAATTTATAGTGACAAAAAATACACCCAAACTACCACCAACCCAATGTATTATACTACATTTTCAGTGTATAAAACTTTATTTGCACTTTTAATTCTCTTTTATGTGAATCATGTCATTTAGGCACCAATAGTTTTGCTGTGTTTTTTAAGAAAGTTTCCTGAACACCGAATGTCTTTCAGAAGAATCCACCAACGATTAGCTTTCTTAAAGTTGATTCTTTACATTACACTGAGATAGATAGAGGGAAGTATACTAACACCACACACTTCTTCTTTAACTACGATCTTTCCTATTAAAGTATGATTCAGTGCTGTGGTTGAAGTCAAAAGCGGTGCATGAGCGGAACAAGATGTGGTCTTACTTGTGTTTTCCGTTCATCTCCAGACCAACCACAGGACAGATGAACATGGCGCAGTGCATGTCTTCATAACAGTCCCCTTTAATGTTGTGCCTCTCACCCTCCCACGCCGGGTTATCCGTCAGATTCAGCTCCTTCACGTCCTGTCAAACACACCAGGCTTATTAGATTTAACTAAAACCATAAAAAAAATGGTTATATAAAATAATATAAATGTTAACTAAAAACTTTTTTTTCATCTAGTTGTCATGGCAACATTTGGGGTGTACTAAAATAGCTAAAACTGAACCAAAAATTAATAAATACTATATGTGGGTCAAAGGCAAAATGCCTAATTTTGGTGTCTGCAACTAATTAAATTCACAAAAGTGGTTTCATATGCATCGAAACCGTATTAAATTAAACTTTTGTACTTTAATGTTTCAAATAACCTTTGTGAAAATAAAATACCAAAATATGGGTGAAATAATGTTCTGTCCTATAAGTGATCATACTACATTTTATTATATTTTAAATGACTTGCAGCTGACAAATGGGATCTGAATGATAGTGGCAAAGATCTGTGATGATTTAAAATGACAATTAATTAGCATTTAGGGCTACACTGTGATCCTTAATAGAATATATTAAATATTAAATATTGTTACATTGAATGACATTTTAGTGGGTGTCTTCGGTAAATCACTGTAAATATATATGATAGTCATTCTTTTTTGCCCAGAAAAATAAATTTAAACACTGCATATTTAAAAAAAAAAAATAAAAAAAAAATAATCAAAAAGACATTAAAAAAAAAAGAAAATACAAAAATAAAAACTAATTCAAAGTATTAATAAAAAGTATGACAGTATCTCAGTGACTACGTTTACATGTGCACCGATGATTATTTACAGTAATCAGAAGACTTAATTGCA